ATACAGAGGGACCTAGTCAAATTAGAGGATTGGGCTAAAAGAAATCTGATGAGGTTCAACAAATACAAGTGCAGAGTCCTGCACTTAGGACGGAAGAATCCCATGCACTGCTACAGACTAGGGACCGAATGGCTAGGCAGCAGTTCTGCAGAAAAGGATCTAGAGGTTACAGTGAATGAGAAGCTGGATATGAGTCAACAGCGTGTTGCCAAGAAGGCTAATGGCATTTTGGGCTGTATAAGTAGGAGCATTGCCAGCAGATCGAGGGACGTGATCATTCCCCTTTATTTGGCATTGGTGAAGCCTCATCTGGAGTACTGTGTCCAGTTTTGGGCCCCACACTACAAGAAGGATGTGGGAAAATTGGAAAGAGTCCACCAGAGGGCAACAAAAAGGATTAGGGGTCTGGAGCACATGACTTATGAGGAGAGGCTGAGGGAACTGGGCTTATTTAGTCTGCAAGAGAAGAATGAGTGGGGATTTGATAGCTGCTTTCAACTACCTGAAAGGGGGTTCCAAAGAGAATGTATCTAGAGTGTTCTCAGTGGTAGAAGATGACAGAACAAGGAGTAATAGTCTCAAGTTGCAGTGGGGAAGGTTTAGGTTGGATATTAGGAAATCTTTTTCACTAGGAGGGTGGTGAAGCACTGGAATGGGTTACCTAGGGAGGTGGTGGAATCTTCTTCCTTAGAGGTGTTTAAGGTCAAGTTGACAAAGTCCTGGCTGGGATGATTTAGTTGGGAATTGGTCCTGCTTTGAGCAGGGGGTTGGACTAGATACCTCCTGAGGTCCCTTCCAACCCTGATATTCTATGATCCCATTATCTTAACAAGTACAGTATAAAACAGGGGTTGGCAACCTACGGCACACGTGCCAAACACGGCACGCGAGCCGATTTTGAGTGGCATGCAGCTCCCTGCCGCGGTCCCGGCCCCCAGCCCCACTTAGCCCACCCGCCCACCGCTCTCCCCTGCAGGGGCAGGAGGCAGAACCAAGCTTGGCTGCCACAGAACCAAGCTTCCCCCATCCCCAGCTTCTTCCCCTAGTGTGGTGCTTTCCTGCCCCGCCTCCTCTCCATCCCTGGCCAATCAGCTGATGGCCCTAGCGAGGGGGAGGGGGAAGAGCGGCAGCATGCACACAGCTCCGTAGAGGAGGCAGAGAGAGGTAGGGACGGAGCCTGGAGGAAGGGGGTGGAACATGGCATATCCCTTCCAGCCCCCTGCCATGAGCCACTCAGGGCAGGGGGCTGGGAGCACCCCCACGAGCCGAGCACCCCAGCCCTCTGCCCTGAACCCCCCACACACACTCAGCCTTCTGCCCTGCACCCCCATACCTCCAGCCCTCTGCCCTGAACCCCCCACAGCCCAACACACACCCAGCCTTCTCCCCTGCACCCCCACAGCCTCATCCCTCTGCCCTGAACCCCCCCACACACCCCAGCTTTCTGCCCTGCATCCCCTCCCCCAGCCCTCTGCCCTGACCCCTGAAACACCCACCCCCAGATCTGGGGTCCCGGCCGCAGGCCCTACTCAGCCCGCTGCCGGCCTAGGTGAACAGAACCCCAGGCTGGCAGCGAACTGAGCAGGCTGGTGGCGTAAGATCAGCATTTTAATTTAATTTTAAATGACGCTTCTTAAACATTTTGAAAACCTTGTTTACTTTACATACAATAGTTTAGTTATATAATATAGACTTATAGAAAGAGACCTTCTAAAAACGTTAAAATGTATTACCGGCACGCGAAACCTTAAATTAGAGTGAATAAATGAAGACTCGGCACACCACTTCTGAAAGATTGCCTACCCCTGGTATAAAACAAACTCTCTGGTTATAATTTTATGAGAATTAGTGGCAAATTTAGCACAGCTGCTGTGCTACATACTGGTATTTCATATCAGTATTGGTACTTCAGGCTTTTGTGATTGGTACACATTAGGCTTCCTCTCCCTCCCTGGGTGAGTCTGTGTGCTGGGCCCTGATGTATCCTTGTTGCCTACCCCCCAAACAGTTGCATGTGCTCAAACCCTCAAGAGATCTTTGGTTCCTCCAGTCCTCAGCCTCAAGGCTCTGAGAAGCTGCACAAGCTTTCCCGCAGGTTTGAGCATATACAGTTGAGTGGGAGATGCTGGGCACTGGCCGGCCTAGTTGAAGTTTTAGGCAAAAAAAATGGCACAGTTGCTGTAAAGTTTGGGGATCTCTTGTGCTCTGTCCTATACCTTGGAATGCCTACTAAAGCTGTTGCACACAGAACGGAATTAATTTCAACAGACAGAGGAAAAAAGGTCTGTGATTGCCTAAAAGGAAGCATAGATCAATCTGATGTTTCATGGTGGATGTTAAGTCATAAAATTACCATTTATAAACCATGTCTTTGTAGGCAAGCGTCTCAGTTCCTTTTTGTTAAAACTCATGATGTTCTTACAGTTCAATGATTCATTAACAAATGATCATTAATGCCGTGACAGCTGTTACTACTACAGTTATGCACCTAATAAATCTGACTCTATTCTTTCAACTTTTTTCTCTAAACAATCAACCAAATGTATCAAAGCAGAAGCATGCAACATCCCCCCTATTCAAACATAAAAGATAACAACAACAAAAATTCAAAATGGCTGACGGCGCCAAACCTCAACACCAATGGAAACAGGAACAGAGGGTGATACATAAGCCCAAAATTGGGCATGGAATCCTGTCAAAAAATATATGGTGATGAATGCTATCGAGCCATATACTACTCACTGCATATGAGTTCCTCTCCAAGGGATTTTGTAGGCAGCTTTACAAAGAATATATGAGCCAATAAACACACTGACTGCAGGGATTATACAAGAGAATTTCTTTGCAAGGATCATAGTTTTGGTAGTCAAAGAGTCCAACCTCCATTCTTGTCTCATAATTTATGAATCAGCTAGTCAAAAAACACATAATCCAACTTTTTAAAGACTTTGCCTCTCACCTGTATCTCTGCCACTTTGATTCCACTTTTATATCCTTAACAATTTAATCACACCAATATTCCATTTCAGTGGAAGCTTATTCAAGGAGCCCTGTGCTGCAACAAGCTTTCCCCAATTAATTCTTAAACCAGAATATTCACAAACTAAATTTTCCCAAGCATTTATGTGTCTTGACATTAGGTTCCATCTAATACGTCATAGTCATATAAATCAAAGTGGCAACAGCAAATCATGAAATCATATATCTAGATGGATTCCTTCCAATCAGCTAACATCAGTTCTCTTAACGTATAAACCAAAGGCTCTATGGATAAATCAGAAATCATATCATTGGTTTTAATGAATGCATTAGAACTAAAACATAAAAGTTCTTGTCCATTTGATTAATGACTGCATTGCTGGTGAAATCTCCTGTGAATACCCAGCTTAACTCAGTCAAACTCTTTTTCTGCACTGAGTTCACATAATAAAAATGATCAAGTGAATAATCAGTCAAATGTGTCTCCTTCAAACATGTAGGTCATCACTCGATAATGTGCATCTCTCTTTTCCTGTTGTCCTCCCCAGTGTAAAATTGATTGATCTTCATGAATGCAGAAGTCTCTTCACCAGTATTTTAGCTAGAATATTAAAGTAATCATTGGGTAAAGAAACAGGACGAGAAGATTCCATGTATAATGTATAGTTCATTGTTCTTGGAGAAGGTTTCTCATAACTACATTTTGGCATAGAATTTGCTTAGGCTTTTGTGCTGTACGCAATGTGTATTCGATTTTATGCCTTTTTTAGCAAATGCATTTAGTTCTTCGACTGACAATTCTGCACTATTATTCTGCCCAGCGAGATCTCAATGGACTCTCTTTGAACTTGCCACCATAGGCTTTGTCAATAAAAAACATCCCATCCCCTCATCATTTCTCTCAGCCTTCTTCGTAATTCTTTCTGGTCCTGAGAATCTCAGACCTGTCTAAGTTAACAAAGATTCTGCCATAGAGCTTGTTAAGGTTATCATCATGTTGAACTACGGCTACCCTTTGGTAATTTAGGAAGATCTAAGGTTTTCAGGAGCAATTAGAATGATCCAAACAAGAATGACATTTTGTCCAAGGACCCAAAGAAGAGCTTTATGTAGCTGGAAAGCTTGTCTCTCCTCTCACCAACAGAAGTTGGTCCATTAAAAGATATTACCTCGCCCACCTTGTCCCTCTACTATCCTGGGACCAAATGAGCTGCAACACAGTACCCAACATGTTGTCCATAATCAGTAACAGCTGTGACAGCATATCTGTGCCTTATGGACTATCAGGCTGAGATAAGAGCAGCGCTTTAAGCAACAGTCATTTGTGAAAGGGACGATTTGCAAATAGTTTATGGCTGACTCCCAGCCAAACCAAAAGACAGAGATAATCCAATGTCCTTTGTAGTCTGCGGAGCCTCTTCCACACAAACCCCTTGCAGTAGTGCGGTAAAGCGCCATCATATCACAACCGAGGGTGAAGTCCAGGCACGCAGGCAAGGGAAAGGAGGGGTCAGGTTCCCCTTCCCCTCGTGCCAGAAAAGTGAACCGCGGAAGGGGTAATTGAAAGTGACTTCATCTCCCATTGTGACCGTCACTTCCCTCTTCATCATGGGGGGCCCAGACCGCAGGGCCCATCCTGTCCCCATCCCGTGTCTGTGTCACTGTCGCAATGCAAGAGCTGGCGCACGCTGCCAGCCAGTCATAGAGCCCCACCCTTAACCACACAAGGACCCCCCCCCACACACACACACCCCATGGCGCGGATCAGCCCCTGGGAGGGGAAGACGAAGTTGCCGCGTTTGCAGCTGGCTCCTTTCCAGCCTCTTTTCCTGCCCCCCGCCCCCCAACTCCTTCCAAGCGTTCATCATTCACACGCGCTCCTGCTTCCTTCCAGCCAGCCCCTCGCGGGCCGGGGGCGGCCTCCGCTGCCTGGGACTGGCCGGAGGTGGGAGGGAGGGGCCCGCCCTGCGGCTTCAAATAGAGCCCCGCGGGCCCCCGGCTGGCACTCGCCACCTGAGCCGGCTCCCGAGACAGCGCGAAGCCACCGGCCGCCGAGTCCCGAGCAGCGCGTGAATCCAGAGGAGCAGAATGAGCTCGGCAGCGCGGGAGATCCTGGGCCTGGGGCTGTGTGTCCTGGGCTGGGTGGGGGTCATCCTGGTCTGCGGCTTGCCCATGTGGCAGGTGTCCGCCTTCACCGACGGCCACATCGTGGTGGCGCAGACCACCTGGGAGGGGCTGTGGATGAACTGCGCGGTGCAGAGCACGGGCCAGATGCAGTGCAAAGTCTACGACTCCATCCTGGCGCTGGATCCCCACATGCAGACGGGCCGGGCGCTCACCGTCCTGGTGACCCTGCTGGGGCTGGTGGCGCTGATGGTGACCGTGGTGGGGGCCCAGTGCACCACCTGCGTCCGAGCCGGCAAGACCAAGTCCTGGATCGTCATGACCGGCGGGGTCCTCTACATCCTCTGCGGGCTGCTGGTCCTCATCCCCGTCTCCTGGTTCGCCAACATCATCATCAGCGGCTTCTACGACCCCAAAGTGCCCAACTCCATGAAGCGGGAGATGGGAGCCGCGCTCTACATCGGCTGGGCGGCCACGGCTCTGCTGCTCCTCGGGGGCAGCCTGATTTGCTGCTCCTGCTCCTGCCCCGGCGAGGGCGAGAACGCCTTCCCCGTCAAGTACTCGGCCTCCGCCCGGCGGCCCACCTCCAACGGGGAGTACGACAAGAAGAACTACGTCTGAGGGGCCAGGGACGGAGCCGGGCTGCAGCTCCCAGCCGGAGCCTGCCCTGGGCCCGGCTCCCTCGCCGGAGATGCTTGAAATGACTCGCGCGGACTCCGGGGAGGCGAGCTCCGAACTGGACTGTGCGCAGGTACCGCTCAGTGGCACAAGACCCGCCCGGCTGCGCGCCTGGAGCTCGCCCCTGTTTGAGCCTTGCAAACGTTAAACAGAAAGGACCACCGGCGTGAATTCGGTCTCTCTTCCCCCCTCTTCTGTCTCCGCCGGGATGAGCGGTAAATCGGCCGGTCATCCAGTGGCTGGCACTGCTTCGCCTTAACTGGAAGGGGGTTGTTTGCTTTGAGATGTATGCTATGTAACATGCAAGCGAGTTAACCCATTGCTGCAGGACTATGAACCACAGAGCGGGTGCTCAGGGCTTTTTTTTTTTTTAAACTACTTTGTGACTAATTACAAACCTGCACCTGCTTATTTAATTTGATTACTATTACTGTTGCCCCCCAAATGACCTACCGGATTGTTTATGTGTCATTAGAGAATAAGATAAAGTCTGCGTTCTCCATCCGATTGTGGAGAAATGAGAACTCTCTTAAAACAAAGCCTCTTAAGCAGCGAATTCATCTCCCTAGCCGGGGAATCATCCTTCCCTTACTGTCTTTTTTTATAATTGAAAAAAGTTTCATTGTGCTGTTGTAATGTGCTGCCTTGCCGCTGTACAAACCCGAGTGAACACATGGCTAATGAAATTAACTAACCTAAACTCTGCGGGGCATCGGTCTAAGCAGTTAGGACGATTGTGGTACAGGATTTTACAGAACTAGTTCAGAACTCAACACTCCTTATTTGTTAACCCTGTTTTTATAATAAAAAACAAACGAGATTGTCTATATTTTATATGTATATTTTTATATTCTAGCCGCATGTTTTGTTATTATAAAGATGTACGAACTATTGGGAGCAGGAATAGGTGACAGCCCAGCACTCGAATTTGGTAATTAACAACCAGTGTCTGGTTGTTTGAGACAAACTTTGGAAGGAGGCGGGGTATGCTAGGGCATCATGCACAACTAGCAACTTGTTCTCCCATTTTGTGTCCAGAACAACCCATAGGGAATAGGAGTTTATAGTATAATGTATCTGCAAAAATAAGAGAGGAGTTTGCATCTGTTAGTGCACCAAATGGCTTGTGCTAGCAAACATCTCTTCCTAGGGGCGGGTGCCCTGAACATTCCCCCAGTAGGACTTTGTCATCACCTCCTTCAAATTTGAACGTTGTGAGTGCAATCTGGCTTTTTTAATGGATTCTTTTACAAGACTTCAAATGTTTATATATCTTATCAACTGATATGTGTGCTGATAATGAATTGTGCCACTATTACACTAACTTTCATCATAAAACATTTTCAGTCCTTTCACATTTTTTTTTTTAAAAAGACCCTTTGGGTTGAAATGTCTCTTATTTATTTTCTTGTAAAGAAAATACCCGCATCTGGCTTATTGTAACAGTGGTGGGTTTGTTTGTTTTTTCATTATTTAAGAATTTTTTTCAATTTGTTTGAGCTTGGATAAATAAAATGTAAGTTCTTTTTAAAACTTCAAACTAACCTTGGTCTTCATTCCTCAGTTTAGACAATTAACCTCTGCCCTGCTATGTTTGAAGAAAATTGGTTTAGAACAATCATGGACTGAGATCTTTGATTTTCCACTAATTGGGACAGTCGTTCAGGTATAGGCACTGATCCATGTGCATAGGAAGCACTGTGCATTCAAATAAAACTCATCTTACATTGTAACCTTGATTGCTCAGTACTCTCAGGCCAGCCAACCATCCCTCCTCCTTAACCCATTCCTAGTCTATGTTTACTTGAATATGAAATCATTACAGCATACAATGTGTACTTGCTCTGGCACATGCTTTGCATGCACAATTTGAAATTGGAAGCATTAATGCTGAATAGAATATGGTTAGGCCAAGTAGGCTCCTTCCGATATCACTTTACAAGTAATGTAAAGGACTCGGCAAGGTCTTGGTTGCCATCTTGCTGAGTCCGTCTTGCTGCCAATATCAAATTTTGTGTGCTCAGTAGGGGCACAATTTAATGTGAATATGCATCTGTTTGATTGTGCAACAGCAGTTAAATTTACTAACACCATTCTTTATTTTAAAAACAAATAAGGAAATGCAAAAAATTCTTAACCTGATATTATTGCTGAGACTTTAGATGCAATAATCAAGAAATTCAAGGTTATGGCTCCCATAGCCACCATAACTTTTATCACCGGGGAGGAAGGATGACTAATTTTTGCTCTATGCAAGCACAATTTGGGATTTCCTGACTTAGATGTGTGTGAAACAAGCTTCTTTAAAAAGTGAGTAGGGACTGAGTAAGTGTGATAGTTCCTAATGCAAACTCTAAAAACAATTAAACAAGTTCTAGGCCATGTGACAGTACTCTTATACCAACCCAGCACAATTCTACTGACCCAGATGGACTCCATAAGGAACTACCTTCTGCCTCCAACTAATAAGGAAATACTCTACACATTAGTCTCCCTCACAGTATAACACTAAACCTTAATTACAGCCTCATGGTTCCATCACAAACATATAATACACATGTGTATGTCAACTCTGAATATTTCCCATTGTTGCTGAGACTTGTGATCTAACTGGATCTGTAGTTTTGCAATAGGGCTTCATCCATATTGTTCTTGCTTTGCTTAGTAAACATACAAAAGTGATGGTGTCAATACACAGAGGCTTGAGAGACTAGGACCTTGATCCTGCAAACACTTATGTATGTGATTAACATTAAGCACATGATTACTCCCATTGGAGATAAAACTTCATGCTTAACCACAAGCATGTTTGCAGGATCTGAGCCTATGTGATCATTAAGCAAACACCATATGTGTAGAATTGTTTCCTCAGTAAAGAGGTGCAGTTCTTAAACTGTCAGTGTCTTAAATGAGAGCTACAATACTGTTATTGTAACGTAATATGTGATTTTGGTACAAGAGTGAAATATTCTGTATTTCATCTTTGCAACTTTTGTTTGTAAACACCGTAACCTGATAAACTGTAAAAGCATTTAAATGTGTACATTTTGCAAGAAATCTACCAAAGCTGGCTTGTAATTTGTGTGGTGCCTTATTTGTGTCCTTTACAAAAAAAACCAAACTAGAATACAAATCCCCATACTGACTTCAGAAAAGTCAATGGGGGTAATATGGGCCCGTCGTCATTTCCCCTCGTACTGCACTGTCACTCTAATTAATCTAACTACTGTCGATCTCCTGTGGGTAACGAATGGAGTTAACAGACCTGCAGTCCTTACTCATTTTCCTCAGGCAAAATCTCATTGACTTCAATGGGAATTCTTCCTGAGCCGAATAAAGCCCCAATCCTGCAAACACACTTGTATATAACTTTATTATGTGAGTAGTCCCACTAATGAGAGTAAAGCTGTGTGCATGTGAAAGTGTTTGTGGGACTGGGGCCTAAATAAACAAAACAAGATTTGGGCTCTGACCAGCAATATTTTGAACAACCATTTTTGGTACTGGCGTTAAGTATCAAATAGTTTGTGTTTTCCCCTGGAACCAATCTTATAAAAATCAACACCTTACAGGGAAACTTGATTTAACAAAGCAACCTTTTAGAAGCATAGCTGTACATCACCACAGGGCTGCAGCCACTTAAAAGCAACATCTGAAACAATTACTTTAGCCAGACCTCTTGTATGAAAAAAGCGTGACTTCTGTGCATGTCTCTCACTAAAAATAGCATAATTCTGCCAATAATGGGCCACATTCTCTGTTTATGTGAGTGGACAAAATTCTCCTGAAAGAATGGAGCTGAGCCCTTTTATAGTAACAAAAAATTGGCCCACTTCTTCTGAAAGTGTCTTTATTCTGAATGTCATGGCTCTACGTCCTGTGATAGGCTTTCCTACTGCCAGTCTTTATAAAATAACCTGGGAGAACACTAATAGTAACATCACTGGAGCTGGCATCAGGTGAAAGCCTGGGGTTTGGATGCTTTTTATTTCTACATAGAGCCACAAACAAAATAAAAATCATAACTGAGCACTGGAGAAATAACGGAAGAAGTTAGAAAGTCCTGCTTTCATCAGAATGAGGTTTGGGCCTGATCCTGCCAGGGGCTGATTACTTCTAGCTCCCAAAGTTTAGGGCTGGGGCCTTTGTTTTTGAAAAAAAATCAGATTAATTTTGTGTTTCTGACAAGCACTAGGCTATTTGACCTCAAAGAACAGGCATGACACAAGCAGCAGCAATGCAAGATGTGTTTACATTGCTCCTCCATGGCTGAGACAGATCACAGATGGATCACCCCTAGCGGAAAGTGGGCAGTTTATTCTCTGTGGACCGTTCAGTTCTTAGCCTCGCTGCTGGGACTGCTACCAAAATTAGTAGCAGTAGTTGTAGGTTTTGTGAAATGGAAAATGGAAATAGATCGAGAGCCACCAAGTCATTTCACACAAGCCCCTGAACAGCCATCAGGTTGTAACAACTTCGAATCACTACCAGTCCTGGTTCAATGGACCTGATCCAAAGCCTATGAAATCTATGGAAAGATTCCCATTGACTTCAATGAGCTTTGGATCAGGCCCAGGATGAGCTGGTCCCTTAAGAGGGGGACACTATTACCAATCCTCATTGCCACTCAGTTTCTACAAAGTGTGTTTGAGCTGGAAAAATGCTGTCAACACAAACATACAAAGAAAATGAATGTTCAATGAAACTCTCAATTCTCATGACTAGCAGGGACCTTGCCCAGGTTCTAGCCTTGTCAGGGAGTTCATTCAATACTTTACAGACTTCGTCAAATAATCCCATTGTTTGGACAGGCTGTTGTTTAAAAAAGAAAACATCTTCAAAGACTGCATTTTTCAGCATTCATGCCAGCTATGTTGAGATGAACAAAAGCTCCTCGCCACCCTCTCATTGACTTCCACATGCTGGGCTGGAGAAAAGGTGTCTGCCTGCTTGCCCTTTGTCTGCTAAATTAGGGGTTCTCAAACTTCATTGCACCGCAACCCCCTTCTGACAACAAAAATTACTACACGACCCCAGGAGGGAGGCCCGAAGCCTGAGCCCACCCAAGTCCTGCCAAAGCCCAAGCCCCACCACCCCGGGCGGGGGGGGGGCAAAGCCCAAGGCCTTCAGCCCCAGGTGGGGGGCCTATAACCTGAGCCCCACCACCCAGCACTGAAGCCCTCAGGCTTTGGCTTCAGCCCTGGACAGTAAGGCTCCAGCTTTGACCCCAGGCGGTGGGGCCCAGGTTTTGGCTTCAGCCCCAGCAAGTCTAATGCCAGCCCTGGTGACCTCATTAAAATGGTGTCCCAACCCACAGTTTGAGAACCGCAGTGCTAAATGAACCACTAGAGTTATGAATCTGAATGTCAGCTATAGTTCATACCCTGCAAATGTAGTTAGAACCCATCTGTGCAAAGAGGGGAAATGCACCAGGCAGGAGGAAAGGGAAACTCAGTCAGTCACGTTTGCTATAGGATGTTTAAGAAATATTTCCCTTTCCTGCACAAAGATATATTTGTCATGCATCTGTTCTTCGGGATGTACTGAAGCCTTTTACACTCCAAGGGAGGAATTAGTCCAGGCCCACGGTTTTCTTTATACAGCTATTCCCATGTTAAAACCTGACTACTGAATGTTACATAGTTTGTCCTTGTTTTTTTTTGTCCATCTCTAAAGTCCCAAGAGCAAGTAAGTAGTGCACCCTACTTTATTTTCCAATCTAATCTGTCTTCAAAACCCACCTTGCTCTAAACAAGCTGAGACCCATTACAGCATCCTAAACATTAAATCAGTCCCCTGTCTGTTCTCGGCACTTGGGAAATGCTGAAAGATGCAAGATTCAGTATCAGATTGGACCCACAATGCATGACTGAAGTGAAATGCAGAGCTTTAACTTTGTATACAAATCATCACTAATAGGTACATCTCTTGGGTGTCAGGGTTTGCTTTTGTAACTCTTGGTAACTTGCTTGGTAAGATGTAGCAAATACTTCCGCCAAATTAAACAAATCAGGAAACACTACAGCAAGTACATTCTGTCTTCAGCTCAAGAATTGCATTCAATTTACCTGTAGTCTGGCTGTGGTAAGGCAAATCCTTTCAAAGACAGAGCTCAAAAGGACTCAGATTTATGTTTTGAAAGTGACTGGATTTTGTCAATCCCATTTTGATCAGACCTTTGTGTGTGTGTGTGAACGAGACTTAATTCCAGTCTGTTCCTTGCTGATTCCCTGCAGGAGGGGGCTGCCTGTCTGAAAAACTCCCTTTTCTTCTTACTGTAGCCTTCAATTACAAGAAAAGGACAATTTCACCCACTGTGTCATTGATAAAGCTTCCCATGGCAACAGTGGTCAGGCTTTGAGGTTGCTTGGCTACTCAAGCCTTGCTTTACCTTTTCTTTTTCTGAAACACAGATTGAGAGAGTCTGCCATGAATCACTTTAACAACTTGCTTTGTCTTTGGCATTTTAGAAGTTTGTTTACAACACTGAGCTTTTTTCTCTCCCATAATCCTTCGTGCATGTTACACAGCTTCAAACCAAAGTTATGGCAGGAAAAGGTCATAAGTGCTGTGAATTAACCTAAACGGTTGGAAACATACATATTATGTGAAAGGCATGCTGATGCATTCCACCATGGCTCCTACCCAATCTTCTCAGTACATGGGGTTCCTGCTTTTCCTTAGCCCATCATAAGCTGTTCTGGGATGTTGTGTTTGCCACACCGAAGAGTATCCTCAACTGAATTCAAATTTTAGGCTGCAAAACTGCCTTCATCAGTTCAGGCCAAGAAAGTGTGCTGTTTGTGATTTAGAAATTGTAAAGGAATTGCCACAGATCTGGTTATATGACCCATGGCTTTTCCTGCCTCAGTGTCACGGTCTTGAACACATACACACACAATCTATCTATCGTAAAGAATGGAGATACTGCACATACACTGATTTTTTTTTGGGAGGGGTAGTTGTTGGATACTGAATTCCTTTTTAAAATCTCTGAAAAATAAAATAAAATAAAAAAAAATTGCCTTTCCTAAGCACCTTGTATAGTTATTTACAGTTCTGCAAAATAAGTGAATTGGCCAGATTTTACATTCACTTCCACAGGTGTAAAATGACTACACAAGGTGCAAGACAGTGGAGAATCAGGACTCAGAATTTCTTACATTTACAAAGACCTGGGGGGAAATAGCTATTAACAAAAGGCAGGCTTAAAGGTATATTTGAACTATTTATATTATACACACACACTCTCTCTCTCCTATCCATAGGTCTAGATGACATGCAGTCTAAAAAATTAATTAGATGTACTGAATCACTGACTGGGGGTTGTTGTTGTTTCAGTGATAGAGAACTACAGAGATATGCAGGCTGGAGAAAAGCAAATGTGGTACTACACTCTATAAATTGAAAGAAGAATGATCTTTGCAATTATCCAGTAATTCTAATTTCAAACCACAGTCAAATAATGGGACAATTATAAAGAGAGGGGAAAAAATCACAAACCAGCTACAGGATAATAGAACCATGAACAACAAGCCGCATGTTCAAAACATTTGTAGATGAATCTAAAAGGAGTTGCAAATACCGGCCAGGACAGAATATATAAAGTGATCTAAATTGACTAGGACACTGGGCAGATATAGATACATCATGCCATCTGACCCTTTTCAGAGTGGTTCTAATGGACATGGTGCTTAAAATGGTGGCAGCCGTTGGCACCCTGTCGACAGCAGGGCTCCTGATGGAGCTATTGGTATGAACTGGTATTGGGAACGTAGGAATTTTTTGAATAGGTTCCCTATTTTAGACAAGGCCTATGTGGATCTTGTGAGGGTGTGTGCACTTAGAGAATAGATTTAAAAATTTTATTAAAGTTAATGTTTAAAATTAAATATAGACAAGTTAAGAGGGAAGGTACTGTACATCTGGGGTCCAGCTTGAGTTATGAGGGATTACAGGTATCAGTTACAAGGATCACAAGATACCTACATATCACATAACCAGCATAGACTCAGATTGGGGTGTGGGAGTTTTTAAAGCGTCAGTGGATAAGTGGGCTTG